AAGTTTTGATGGTTATTAAAATTTCGAGAATTGTTAAAATTATGAGAGTTGTTGGAATTCTGCGAATTATTTTGGGAATTTTGTCGTGAACGACATTCGTTGTACGAGTGGCCCATACGTCCACAAAATGTGCATCTATGTGGTTGAAGGTTTGGTCTTCTAATGGGTTGATTATTTTGATTGGGTTTTGTAGGATTGGATCTATTGATTTTTTGTATTTCGAAATAGGATAATTGTAACTCTCGTCTGATGCGGACTTGAGCTTCAAGAAGGTCTTTTGGATTACTTGCACGAATAATATGGGCGATTTTTGGATCGAGGCCGGTCAATAATGTATTGAGCGCCATTGATTCAATTAATACAATTTGGGCCTGTTTTTCTACAGCAGAGAGGCTAGATTTCTGTATATTAGCGTGCATTTTTGCATTAAGGACTTGGACACGATTAAGGAATGTAAGAGCCGATTCATTTGGAAGTTGTTTGACTCTTTGTAAATCTTGTATCAAAGATGATAAGTCTCTAGTGTCTCCAAAATGAGAGGTAAGAAGCTGTTTAATTTCTAGATACGATAATGGATTTCTTGAACTTATAAGTTGCGCTGCTCTTCCGCGTAATTTATTTTTAATGTGAATTACTAATAGTTGTTTTTGATCGCGCGTAGACATATTATAAGCATAATCACAAGCATTTAAAAATGTGTGTAGAAATATCTGATCGCCTTCAAATTCGGGTACGATAGAAAATATTTCGGATAATTTGTAAGGTTCTATTTCAGGCTGGTTCTCATTACGAGAAGCGGGACGAGAAATGTTGCCGTTATCATTCATGGTGGTTAATAAATCAATAAACGAAATAGAAATATAAGATAATGGATTAATAAAAAATAATTAATCAAATATAAATATCAAATAATAAAACAAAATGTAAATATCAAAATAATAAATCGAAAATGTAAATATTAAAATAATAAATCAAAATATAGGAAAAGTATTTTTTTAAGACAGTGTCTGATTAGCAGAATAATCGACACAGGTAATTGTTTAATAAAATGAAAATAAAAAAGTTGACGATTTACAGAATAATCGCCAAAAGTTTATAATTATTAAAGTAATTATCAAAAAATATTCAAATTCGGCATAAAATTATTAATTAAATGAATATTTTATATTGGAATATCGAACAGTATATGGTAATGAATGGTATTAAACAAAAATTATATACGAGATGATTCAGTATTAGACTTACATTAGTTCCAAAAACATCTAGTCGTCTTGTTCTCGACAGCTAATCTACCAGGGGCTTCACTTGGTGTTCCTTCCGTAGATGTCTGCAAAGTTAGGGCGGCACTGCTTTTTGGAGTTTTCTGGTTCTTTTTCTGATTAAAGGATTGGAATCCACCGTTGTCAGTTAGGGTCTCCTTGTTCTGCCAACGTTTCCAGATCCTACTGCGACTGCGCCACTTTTTATATCACGAAACACTTTTTTGACTTTTTAAAAAATTTATTTATTACAAAATACAAGTTACGTGGTAAAAATGAATGAAAAATAAAATATAATGAATGAACTACAAAAATATACTGAATACTGAATTAAGAGCGACAAGCGGTTTTATAATATTAGTAAATGCTGACTCAGTGGGAACGTGTAAAAAGCTTGGGTCCCGCTGACTCTGCTGGTACTGCATTTGCAAGGATCCTTATCGGCTCAGGTTGTTGGAAGTGGAACCTGATACCCTGGGAATCGTCGTGATAAGAAACATCGGTTGGTACAATGCATATAACATATATATATATAGCAAAAAATACAGAATACAAAAAGACAGAATACAAATGAATGAGTCCCCTCTCACTCCTGAACAAACCATAAAATATGCTTCGCTCCCGTACTTCCCACAAATCACGAACAAGCTAATCAAACTTTTCCAAAACTTACCTGTCAAAATAGCTTTAAAAAACACCAGAACTGTAGGAAAGTTATTTTCTAAGACAAAAACTCCATTGGCCCCTCTAGAACAAACTAACGTCGTCTATCATGTACCCTGTGCGGAGTGCAACTCCTGCTACATTGGCCAGACCAGCCGTTCTCTTCAAGGTCGACTAACGTCCCATAAAAGCGACATTAGGATTTCAAAACCATCCTGTGCCCTTGCACAACATGCCATTTCAACCAAACACAGTATCGACTTCACTAATACTAAAATACTGTGCAAACAAAAAAATTATCATAAGCGTTCTATCCTTGAAATGTGTCAAATTCTTAAACATCCATCATCCCTAAATAAAAGAACCGACATCGACAACTTGAGCCAGATATATCACTCTCTCATCATACACAACAAATAATAATTAAATAAATAACACTTACAAGATAGTAACTTCATTCCCCTTCTTCTTTCCCTATTTTCAAAATATTTTTTTTTTTTTGTAGAATAAAATATTCCTTTTTGAAAAATAGGGCTGTCCCCGTTCTGCTTACTAACTTTTTTAATAATTGTACCTCACTGCGTTCCGAAGAAACGTATGGACGACACATGCCACATGTGCAAATGTGACAGCCTAAAACCGATAGAAAACATTCCAAGAGATTATTGTGTTGGGTCTTCAAAAGAGCTTACACCCACATTGAGATGAAGCCATCGGTAAAAATTAAATAAACAATAGTGCTGTTTCAGTTTTTTCCTGTGTGTTTTTTGTTTCGATTCTATCGTTTAGTTTTTAAATTTTTTAATGTTAAGTTATCGTAGAGTGTGTTTAACATCTTTTACAAAACCTACAAATTGTTTTTGTAAGTATGAACCCTTTTGGTTATTTACTTATTTTTTACATCGTTTTATATATATATATATATATATATATATATATATATATATATATATATATATATATATATACTCTTTTACTTGTTCTATTTTTGTTTGTGCCACTGTAATTATAAGTTCTTGTGGTTGATTAGTCATGGTTTTTGTTTTACTTTTACTGTTTTACTTATTAAAAAAGTAAAATTTTTATTAGTAAAAACTAGACTGATTGTCGATCTCAAATATATTTTTTTAAAGTTTCAGTTTAGAAAAAATCGATCAGCGGCATGCGAAGAGCTGTTGTTAAATTTTGGTAAACTGAAGTTAATTCGTTTAAAAATATAATATTTTAAAATTTTACAAAAATCATTATTGAATACTATTAACAAAGGCTGAAGCTATATATTTATTTTATTTATTTTTACGCACGACAGGCCGTTAAGGCCTAGGGCAATTTATTTACAACATAATCCGAATATTAACTAATTACAATTATTTTAAACAAAACTTTAACTTAAATATGTATATATAACATTCTTAATTATTCTGAAGGACCTGGTGGACAATATTTCTCCATTCGCTTCTATTTTGTGCTTTTATTTTCCAGTCCCTCACCTTCACGTGTTTAAGGTCTTTCTCCGCTTTACTAATCCACCTCGTTCTGGGTCTACCTCTTCTTTTGGGGCCGATTAATTTTCTGGTTATTACTAGTTTAGGCATTCTGTTTACTGCCATTCTTTCCACATGACCCAACCATCTGATTCTTTGTGCCTTGACGAACTTGTTAATGGTAGGTTCTTTGTATAAAGCCATTAATTCATTGTTGGTTCTTCTCTCCCAACCATCTTCTTTCTTCCGTCCTCCGAATATGCGTCTCAATATTTTCCTTTCCCATCTTTCCAGAGTATCCTCTTCCTTCTTATTTAATGTCCATGTCTCACCAGCATATATTACTGTGGGTCGAATTACTGTTTTATATATTCATTCTGAGTTTACCTTGTCTAGAAACGTATTTTGACACAAAGATTTTTACACAAAAGTTTTCTATACTGTTGTTTAAATTATATAAACATGTGAAAGAATCAACATGATTTTCCAATATGGTACGATTTACTGAAATTAATTCTTGGTCGAGAACACAACAAAAGAAATTAACTTTGTATGACATTTTATGATCCAAAATCGGATCGTCTTTATGTTCGTAATCGAACTGTCCACTTTTATTCCGGCAATATAATAGGCTCATGGATTCAGATATAAAACAATCTTTTGCAAACCGTTATTTTTGCCACGCATATCAAAACCATGATCATAGTTCTGGTCCCTTAAGTTATTGATATGTAACGCACATAATTTCATTTTGGATTTCATTTTTATTACCAAAATAAGAGGGCATTTTTGTTTCTTGTAAACTTTGTGTGACATGGTGAATATGGTCAGCCATTATCGGATCAAATTTACCTATCATCTCTATGCACTTCCAAAAATTACCGATATGAGACAAATGTTTGAGACAGCTCTATCCATTTTTTATAGTTACTAAAGTAAAAGGAACTTCTTTCATGCCTGCCTAAATACTCGTCCTCGACAAAATACACTATTTTCTTGAGGGTTAAAGTTTAATGGAAAAACTTACCAATTTTTATGATAAATTTCGCCGTTTTTTAAGTTTTTTTCATAATAATTAGAAGAAAATCGTCGTCCCGATGAATCGCGGGGAAAATTGAAAGTATCGCTTAATATATACTATAAAGAAGAGATAACAAAGAGATAAAAATGGTCATCTTAACTGAAATTCGCACTCACTTTCCCTAAGGTGTTATGCCACCAAGTTGACGCTCTTACTACGGTGCCATCAAGACATATATAAATGGTATAAACGAGTGGATACAAAACAGAAAAAAGAATGGAATAATGACATAAGTAGAATGAAGGAGACAGAGGAGTCAAAATAGCAAGAGGTAAATAACCAACCAATAGAAGAAGTATCCACTTTTTCCATAAGCAAGTTTGTCAATAACAATAAGCGTATCATCTTTGCTGTCCATGATAGAAACATTATATTTCATAGATGTTTCCTCAAAAATATGCTATTTCGATTTGGTAACTACACTTATTTGTGTATAATTAATTCAGATTAGTATTATTTTATCTTCTACTTAGTAGATTGTTTGTGATACCTAATATTTTGTTATTTACTTACTTTAAAATATCTTTACCAATCACTTGAACATCAGGAGGCCAACACTTCCTAAACGTGACTTCGTCCTCTCCGTATCCAGCTACAGTCAAGTAGTTAGTCAGAGCATCCAACCAAACATACACTGTTTGAGAAGCATCACCAGGTACTGGTATGCCCCATTCGACCCTAGACGTTGGTCTTGAAATAGAAAGATCTTGGAGACCATCTTCTTTATTTAATAGGTCCAAAAGAATTTTATGGAACTTTTTTGGTCTTACTGCATGCTCTACAAAATATATAATACAGTTAATTATCCACGAAAAATGACCAAGGGACCGGTTTTTTTTATGTTTAAATTTATGATATTGTTGTTTTTGTCTTTTACATTATACTATATTAAAATATAGTGATTAAAATATTGAATATTTTTATTTACATATTTTTTAGACTGTGTCTCTCTTTTATTTAATCTTTATTTTACCCATTAAATTTGTTTTGTCAGGGTGACTCACTGAGCCTGTTGCTCTTCGACATTATTACAGATGAGATAATAAAGAAAAAGCGCAAAATGAGAGGATATGCGATGGTAGATAAGAAGATTCAAATCGTGTGTTATGTAATTTAACCTCACAGCCAACTCGTTCAGCATGGTGATATCAGCTGCTAAAATGAAATTTATGACATCAAAGCCACCTTTAAGATATAAACTTGGGGTAAATGGATCACTTATCCAGTAAGAGATGAAGTTTACATACCTAGTGTTGGAACTATACTGAATACTATGGAAAACTACTATAGAGCCACGACACACAAATACCGCATGCTACTTAAGGAATAGAAATATGTACTCCGATGCGCATGACGTCACCTACGAAGCAAAAATACACGATACTACGGTGTTCGAGATATAGGATCCCGTGTCTCAGTAGATGTATTTGTATATCATGCGATAGATGAACTGTTTTTACAAAGCCTCTCATTTTAATCTCTTTTTCTAGTGTTTAGTCTGTTTAGTCAAAGAATATTGATAAAGAATTATTTTAGCATTAAACTGTGGTTTAGTTCATTTTTTGTGTATCATCGACAAAGATGCCGGTTTGTGCCGTAGCTAATTGTAAAAATTATAGTAGGGTGATGAAAGGATCAGACATAAAATATTTTCGATTTTCTTAAAACCTGATGCTGTGCCTACTTTACAACTACCAATTTGTCACGAGTCCAGCTTACAAAATCAAGAAGAAAGAGTAGCACGACTAAAAAATGGAACACAACATAATGTAGAAAACCTAATACATTTTAAACATTTTAAACCTAATACAGAAATCATATACCAATGTTAATATGGGTACTAAAATAAGTAATCCCGAAATGTCCTCCGGAGGCGTGTCAGGCAGAAGCTGACAGCCGTGCCGGACGCATTTAGAAATTCGGAGAAATACTTGGAAATTCCAAGTTTGGGCAAATCCGAATTTCTAATTGACTCGATGCAGGAAATTCCACTTTTGCTACGTAAAACAAAGGATTTGTTTTATATAAAATCAGATGGAATTTCTCTCATCGGTCAGTCGAGCTTGCCTCTTCTACTGTAGACCTAGTCGGTGCTATTATTGTTCCGACTAAGCTATTGTTTTATTTCTGATTTCCTGCATACCATTTCTTTTATTTCAGCATTATTGTATATTCAGACCTTGTCAGGTTAGAATATTACATATTTGTTCATGTACTGATTGGTTGCTATTTTATTTGATTATTTTGATTGTTTATTTTCTTGTATTTTTATCTAAGCTGTTCTTCCGTAAGTTAAGAACACCTAGAAATATTTATCTTGCCTTTTTTCTATTTTATATATTTGATTTTGTGCTTTGTATCTAAGTAGTTCTTTTCGGTAAGTCAAAGAACACTTATATTTTCATATCGCATTATTATTTCTGATATTTTATCTAAGATATTTTCTTCCGTAAGTTAAGAAAATACTTATATATTTGTCTATTTCATTTTCCATTTTATGCTAAGTTGTTTCTTCCGTAAGTCAAGAAACGCTTAGCAATATTTTCACATCTTTTCTGTATTTGATTATCTTGTTTTCTATTATAAGTTGTTTCTTCCGTAAGCCAAGAAACACTTATAAATATTTGTGCATTTATTTTATTTGTTTATTTCCTGTTCTAAGTTGTTTCTTCCGTAAGTTAAGTAACACTTAGACGTATTTCTATAATCTGTTTCATTTTTGCACTTCTTGTTTTATACTTTATTTTTCCTTTCTAAGTCGTTTCTTCCGTAAGTCAAGAAGCACTTAGAAATATTTCCATATTTTATTCTCACACTTGCATATTTCATTTTTTTATATTTCTGTCCTAAGTTGTTTCTTCCGTAAGTCAAGAAACACTTAGGAACATTTCATTTGCATTATAATCTTTATACCATTTTGATTTACCTGTTTTTACTAAGTTATTCCTTCCGTAAGTCAAGGAATAATTAGATTATTTTTACCTGTCTGTTTTCATCTTTGCTCTGTTACTTTGTAACTGATCCTTGGAACCGTTACCTATAACAGATATTTGTCACTGGAACTGTTATTTATAACAGCAGTGGTATTTAACCCTTATACCAGCGGAAAATCAGAGATGGTCAATACCCGTTCAAATTCCGGGGATAGGAAGAAGCCCGAAGAGCCGGCGATGGGTCCTACAGGCCCAAATGCCCCCTCTCGGCAACAGAAACGTTACCTATAGCCGATACAGAATAGTAAGTATACTGACCCTATTAATCAAGAACTGTGGGTGATATGTAAATTGTTTTAATTAATTTTTATTAAACTTCTTAAGCTAATTGGGTAACTGTTTCAGACCAACTCAAGTCGGAATAAAGACATTGAATGAGAAAATAATGCTTCTAGAAAAACAGAATACAGAACTCAACGAAAACGTTCAGAAAATAGAAGAGAGAATAACCTTAAAATATAACAATATCTTAGCCAAAAGTTTTACTCCGGGCAGATAAAAAAATTATTAGGTAAAAAAAAAGAAATCTCTCGACCTTACTAAAGCAGATAGAATCTACGTACTCAGCTTTGGCCAAGCTTATATTTTCAACAAAATCGAGATTGATAAGAAAAATGAACAGATCATAGGATCTCACAGATCTTGTCAAACTGTTATGGTGCTTGGTTTGCGTGAAACAACCAATTTACTATAAATTGGATCAGCCAATGAACAGCCAATATTGAACAAATAGTATCTGAATGGTTCAGAGCAAATTTTATTGCAGTAGCGATCACCAGTGATATGGATATTGCCAATATTGCCCTTTGGTTTCAGCGGAATGTTGAATATGACAAAAATTGTTTTATTAAGCACCTCTATGATGAGTATTTAAATATTTTTGTTTTTCCAGCTCCTCCACATTTGATTAAACTGGCCCGAAATCATGCAACTGATCATGGTTTTGATATTGACAATAAAATACTCAACAATGATTATTTTGAAGCGCTACTAAATACATCAACTTCAGAATTGACAATTACGCATAAATCGGCATCATCTTTGTTTAAAACGCTTTATGGAGCAAAGAGTGAGACCTGCAGTTTAATTATTGTAAAATTTCGTAGCAAAAGCTATTAGTTATGCTAAGTAAAATGAACTCATATTAAAGGATCGTTACTAGAAAAAAGCTGCTGTAATTGTTCAGCTAGTTATTGAATGGTTTGATCTATTAAATTCACAAGATAAGCAGACACGTCTACTGGATGAAATGTCACAAAGGGTCAATACAGGCAAAATACAATGTTGACTATATTTTAACTTCGCTGAATAAGAACGTGCTAAGGACCTTGTTTTTTATATTCTAGGAATGAGAGGTGCAAATGATCATCCTTCGCCAATAGATTTTATGTATAGATTAAAGTGGTTTATTTTAGGAAAACATTTGGCCATCTTTACAGAATGTCGCAATACTATTGAAACTAGTGAATCTTGTGTAACAGTTCAATAGAAAGCCCTTAATTGTCACGCGATATTTCGGCATCAGAAGATATTGGCTTGACACAAAAAATGCTGTCGAATTTGGTAGAAAAAGAATTTCAATCTGAAGAGGACAAAATACTTTAAAATACATTTGTATTTACGACGATAATATTTTGAAATTCGCAGAAAATTATGAGGTGAAAGATCTTTGAAGGATTTTGAAGTGTGTTGCTGGTTTTGTTGCATACAAATTCAAGCATAAATATAGTTTAGGAAATTCTACAGAAACCTATTAGACATACATGGAACCAAATTGACTACAGACAGTCTCTAGAGGTTCTCTCTTGTACTCAAACGAAAAATTATGGTAAGTTACACTAATCTAATCTAATGTTGGAAAATGCAAGTCAACGTTCACAGAGATTTTGTAACATATTCATTTAAAAAAAGATTCTCTAATTTTAAACGTTAATTAAGTTATTCAGAAAGTGTTTTTAATATTTAACCATTCGACATACTTTGTTCAAAATACACGATTTTGGAAATATTCCACTAATGAATCCGATCATCGAAATATGTATAAAATAGAATTTATTTTCATGCTTATTAATTAAAAACACATTATTATATTCCTACATTAATATGAATACCTTAGAATATAAAGTGCCAAATATTCATGCTTATACTTGATATTAACCAACTAACAGTGCAAGCTTTACAATTCTAATAGAAACTTTGCTTCGCAAATGACGTCACAAAGTGCGAGAGAGATAGAACTAGCCTGCGCAATAGCATACCGATATTTGTGATTCGTGTATAAGGCCTGTAATGACATACACCGTAGAGACTAGACGAAAAACAATAAAAATCCAAAAATTGCTTGAAACAACAGAAATGAAGCTACTTCGTGCATCGCTTCTAGACAGACAAACAAGTGAAAATATAAGATATACGATATGCGGGGTAGACGATATTAATGGTTGGGTGCTAAATAGCAAAAAAGAGTGAAATGAACATATTAACAGAATGGAAGAAAGAAGAATCGCTCGAGGTAAATCACCAACAAAACGGAGAAGAATAGGTCAACCCCGAAAAAGATGGAGTGACAATCTGAACGTTGATGAACGTGGATGAAGTTTTAAAGAGGCGATTCGCCTATAATAAAGAAGAAAAAAGAAGAAATATTTTTTTCTGTATTTTTTCTTTCTACTAATGTGTTAACCCGTATCCTAGAGCGTGAGAGATCCGTGAAAGCCAAACATCGCCGATAAAAGCAGAGGGTGAATAAAAATCCATGGTAAGTGATTCGGTCCTCACCAGTATT